AGATCTGGCCACTGCACTCCAGCCTGGGCGACAGAGCGAAACTCCCTCCAAAAAAAAAAAAAAAAAAAAAAACACTTCAGTAAGATGAGGAGCCTTTGTTAGTATTTTTGTAAAGGAATAATAGGATTCAACTTGTTTTGTTTTGTTTTGGTTTGGTTTTGAGACAGTCTTTGCTCTGTGGCCCAGGCTGGAGTGCAGTGGCACGATCTTAGCTCACTGCAAGCTCTGCCTCCTGGGTTCACCCCATTCTTCTGCCTCAGCCTCCCAAGTAACTGGGATTTCTCTAGCCCTTGGTTGAGAGGAAGTTGGTGATATTGGAAGTTTAATGATTATGGGCCAGGCACAGTGGCTCATGCCTATAATCCCAGCACTTTGGGAGGCCGAGGCAGGTGGATCACTTGAGGTCAGGAGTTAAGATCAGCCTGGCCAGTGTGGTGAAACCCCATCTCTACTTGAAAAAATTAGCCTGGTGTGGTGGTATGTACCTGCCTGTAATAATCTCAGCTACTCGGGAGGCTGAGGCAGGAGAATTGCTTGAACCTGGGAGGTGGAGGTTGCAGTGAGCCGAGATCATGCCACTGCACTCCACCCTGGGCAACAGAACAAGACCCTGTCTCAAAAAAAAAAGAAATTTAATGATTACTGAAACCATATTCGTTATTGGCATTTGCTTTCCTCCCCCTATCCTTGTGCCCAATGTGAGCCATAGATCTAATACAAAATTTCCTGGTAGCCACACTTGAAAAAGCAAGTGGAAACAGGTTATTTGATTACTAATGTCTTTTATTTAATCAAATATGTGTAGAAGTGAGGTGGGAATGGTGGTATGTGCCTGTAGTCCTAGCTACTTGGAAAGCCAAAGCAAGAGGATTGTTTTGAGCCTAGGAGTTTGAGATACAGTGAGCTATGATCTTGTTGCTACACTCCAGCCTGGGCGACAGAGTGAGACCCCCCCAACTCAGATAAGTCAGGGCCAGGCACGGTGGCTCACACCTGTAATCCCAGCACTTTGGGAGGCTGAGACGGGCAGATCACCTGAGGTCAGGAGTTCGAGACCAGCCTGGCCAACATGGTGAAACCCCATTTCTACTTAAAATCCAAAAAATTAGCCGGGCATGGTGGTATGCACATGTAATCCCAGCTACTCAGGGGGCCGAGGCAGGAGAATTGCTTGAACCCCAGAGGTGGAGGTTGCAGTGAGCTGAGATGGCACCATTGCACTCCAGCCTCAGGAACAACAGTGAGAGTTCATCTCAAAAAAAAAAGAATAAATAAATAAATATAAATAAGTCGATTTTTAAAATATTTGAAAGTGTTAATTTAACATGTAATCAGTATAAACAGTATTGAAATATTTTACATTCTTGTTTTCCTTAAGTCTTTGTAATTGGCTGGGTGCAGTGACTCACACCTGTAATTCTAGCACTTTGGGAGGCCGAGGCAGGCAGATCACTTGAGCTCAGGATTTTGAGACCAGCCTGGGCAACATGGCTGCACCCATCTCTACAAAAAATATAAAAATTAGGGCCAGATGGAGTTGGCTCATGCCTGTAATCCCAACATTTTGGGAGACTGAGGCGGGCAGATCACCTGAGGTTGGGAGTTTGAGACCAGCCTGGAGAAACCAACATGGAGAAACCTCGTCTCTACTAAAAATACAAAAAAATTAGCTATGCATGGTGGCGCGTGCCTGTAATCCCAGCTACTGAGGAGGCTGAGGCAGGAGAATCACTTGAACCTGGGAGGCAGAGGTTGCAGTGAGCTGAGATCACGCCGTTGCACTCTAGCCTGGGCAACAAGAGCAAAATTCTGTCTCAAACAAACAAACAAAAAATATAAAAATTAGCTGCCTACAGTCCCAGCTGAGGTGGAAGGATCGCTTGAGCCCATGAGGCAGAGGTTGTAGTAAGCTGAGATCATGCCACTGCACTCCATCCTGGGCGACAGAGTAAGACCCTGTCTCGGGCCAGGCGCGGTGGCTCAAGCCTGTAATCCCAGCACTTTGGGAGGCTGAGATGGGCGGATCATGATTTCAGGAGATCGAGACCATCCTGGTGAACACGGTGAAACCCCGTCTCTACTAAAAAATACAAAAAACTAGCCAGGCGAGGTGGCGGGCGCCTGTAGTCCCAGCGACTTGGGAGGCTGAGGCAGGAGAATGGCGTGAACCCGGGAGGCGGAGCTTGCAGTGAGCTGAGATCTGGCCACTGCACTCCAGTCAACAAGGCAAGACCCTGTCTCAAATAAGTATAAGAAAACTAGTGAATTTTGCATGACTCCATTTGAGCTGTGACTGGTATATAGGACAGGGCAGCATCTTGTCTACTTTTCTCCCATGGTAATTAAGGCTTTTGTGGGCCCTTGCCCCTTTACATGTTAGTTCTTCCCTAATTACGCTCCCTTTGTTATCTAGATGCTGCTCTGAAGTGGGTAAGTCAGTCAGTGTGATCAGAAGTGGGAATCCTTTGGGAGGATTTGTAGTTTGGGCTGTGAGTATTGGAAGGCTGAGAAGGGCACCCCAGGAGAGGCAAAGGTGGCTGAGAAGGTGTTCCCCACCACTGGTGTAATTTGCTTATATTTAATGGGGTGGTGCGTGGCTTTTCCTGCAAGATTGGAGTCGGTGAGTTGTCTTCCCGTGTTCTATAGTAGATTGGATAATATGATGATTCTAAATCGATGTTTCACTTTCTAGCTGGTGCTGACAAGAAAGCCGAGGCTGGGGCTGGGTCAGCAACCGAATTCCAGTTTGTGAGTATCTTCCTATTTGTTTTCCATGAGCCATCATTTGTTCTGGCCTCAGTCTGGTTGCTCGGCAAGTTGTGGGGATGTCGTATAGTATGGTCCTGTCAGCCAGTTCCCTCCTCCCGCTTTTTTCCAAATTCCAAATTTTACATTGAGCTGTAGCATGCAAACTTTTGTAAATATGTAAATTACTGAAATGAGTCTCAGAAATCAGTACATGTGGCCTGCTGTTATATTCTGTTTTGTTAATGCTTGACATTGAACTAAACACTGGAAGGTGAGTGGGCTTAAGAACCAAGATGGTATGAAATCAAATCCTCCATCTTTTTTCATACAATGTTTCCCCATCTATAAAATAGAGGTAATTACAGCTACCAAGGAAATGGGCCTAGACGTTGGATATGGCCCCACATCCAGTAAGGGGCAGTGCTGGGATTTACAGCCTGTACTCAGCTCTCTCCCAGCAGTTTACATTTGGGGGCCTCTGGAGTTATAATGAGGCCTGAAAGTTAGCAAAACCACAAGGTCAAACCAGAGTGCTGCTCATGCTGATGTGATGTGCTTTCTCTTACAGAGAGGCGGATTTGGTCGTGGACGTGGTCAGCCACCTCAGTAAAATTGAAGAGGATTATTTTGCATTGAATAAACTTACAGCCAAAAAACCTTAATCTTGTGTCCATTTTGTTTGCTTTGTGCAGCCTCAACAGGAACGTTTTAAGGGTCAGAGTGTAAATGGGACAGTACTGGCTTGGTTTGGGGGGTTGTCGTTGTCCTGGGTGACACCGGCTGCTGCTGTCCTTGGCTTTGGCATGTGCCCTGCTTTCTCTAGCCAGCGCCTCCCTGCAGAGTGGTGTCCCATATGGTGCTGCACCTCGGAGGCAGTTGGAAAACTGGGTTCCTTCTCCAGACCAGCCATGCTGCCTCAGCTCTGCGTGGTGGGAAAGTTGCTGGTTGCCTGGGAGTTGTGATTTGTGCCTGCTGTCGGGAACTATAAGAAGTGCTGGGCAGGGAGGATGAAAGGTAACCAAGGAAATGGTTCTCCTTCAATTTATGGGGAAGAAGCACAGGAATGGTGTTTAGGCCAGCATTACTAATATGTCTTCAAGGCTCGGCGTTTGTTGACAAGAATCAAGGGAGAAAACAATGCACAAAAACCACTGTTCACAGTGACTAAGGCCTGTAGTCCCAGCTACTCAGGAGCCTGAGGCAGGATTGCTCGAGGCTAGGAGTTTGAGACCAGCCTGAGAAACACAGCAAGACCCTGTCTCAAGGACCGAAACATTTGAAACGCATCTAAAAATTTTTTTTGAGACGGAGTCTACCTCTTGTCGCCCAGGCTGGAGTGCAATGGCGCAATCTCAGCTCATTGCAACCTCCGCCTCCCAGGTCAAGCAATTCTCTCTCAGCCTTCCGAGTAACTGGGATTACAGGCTTCTGCCACCATGCCCGGCTAATTTTGTATTTTTAGTACAGATGGGGTTTCTGCGTGTTAGTCAGGCTGGTCTCGAACTCCTGACCTCAGGTGAAATGCCCACCTAGGCCTTCCAAAGTGCTGGGATTACAGGTGTGAGCCACCATGCCTGACCAACATTTTTAGGTCTTAACATAATTGGAATAAATATTGGGCAGTAGGAGCTTTGCTGTCCAGGGTTCCTTTAAGGAAGGAATAAGAGTTGTAGTTTTCCTTGGTCTCCGAGTGGTGATCCGTCATAGCATGACTAAATGGACTAGAGATGTGTATATAGTCTTCAAGTGTGATCTCAGCATGGATGCAGGAAAGGGACTGCAAATATACTATATACCTGGCACAATGCCAGAAGGGAAACCTGGCATAGCCCAGTGAGAGCTGAGAGAATCCTGCAGGCTTGCTGAGCAGGACACCAACCTTGGCGTGCAGATCAGTCACCATGACTATCTGCAGTAAATACGAGTTACTGGGATGGAGGTGGTTAAAGCATTTGAGGTAACAGCTCTGAACCAAGCAGTGGCTCAAGACAGGCCCAAGGTAGTGTTTTTCAGCCAGAAAAACTGGTAGCTAATTGGAAGTGCATCTTATGGGTTTTGGGAACTTAGGAATCATTTGTGGAGTACCGTGGTTTAAGCATTGTATAAAAATGGACAATAATTGGTGAAATGGGGCCCGGCATTGTGGTTCAAACCTTTAATCCCAGCAGTTTGGGAGGGCAAGATGGGTGGGTCACTTGAGTCCAGGAGTTAAAGACCCGGCATGGGTAACAGTGAAACCCCATCTCCACAAAAAAAAAATACAAAAATCAGCCTCGCATGGTTGTGCTCACCTGTAGTTCCAGCTATTTGGAAGGCTGAGTCAGGAGGATTGTTTGAGCCCAGGAAGTAGAGGTTGCAGTGAGCTGAGATTGTGCCACTGCACTCCAGCCTAGGCGACAGAGTAAGACTCAATAATAATCACTGATCTCATGAAGCTGAGCACTGTGGCACACACCTGTAGTCCCAGCTACTCAGGAGCCTGAGGTAGAAGGATCACTTGAGCCCAGGAGTTGAAACCATCCATTGAGACCCAATCTCAAAAAAAAAAAAAAAAAAAAAAAAAAATTGGTCAAATGAGATTTGTGACAATTCTAAACTACACAGATGAGAATTCTAAACCACCTTCAGTATTGATAGGCAGTTGTAATGTAGACCACGAGGTGGCAGCTGATGGCAACTCCAAATATGCACTTAACTGTTAGTCCTGGGAAGTGAACTTTGGAATCTGAGCCACCAATAAAATAGAAGCTTGCTTTGGCAGAAAGCAGCAGTGTTTGGGGAAGCTCGTTTCAGCACGGCCTTGGCTCGTTTCAAAGATTGCTTTTTATCCAATTTTTCTGCTGGCTCGAGTGATGTCAAGTGGTTTGCCCATGTTCACACACTTTGTGATTGTTTAACCTGGATTCCACTGTGAAATGTTAGGAGCTCCTGCCTTTCTGTTTCCCACAGGCCAGCTAGTGAATAGGTTTCCTCTACGACCTTAGTGATTTTCTGGCCCTAAAATGTTACTTTTTCAGCTAGGGCTCTTTGCCAACTTCTTTCCTCGTGATTCAGATTAGTTTCATAATATATACTCCAAGATCACCCATGGACTCTGGGGAAACCCGAGGAGTCTAGAAAAGAGCATGTGAATAAAAACATGCAGGTAGAAGTGGATCTTGGTGCCTGCCAGCTCTGTCCCTACCTTGGTAGATGAAAACAGCCCTTCCAATCAATAATCATTCATTAGCTGCTCAAGGATCATTGCGAATAAGAGCTCTGAGAAACAAGGCTCAAAATTTGCCCTTAAGCACCTGACAGTCGAGTTGGGAAAACAAAACCAAAGCTATACGTTAAGAGTCCAGAACAACAACTATTCTATAAGTGGTAAATCGCATCCAGACTGAATTCTAAGGACGTGTAGGGCAAAGGAGATGAATGAAGGCTGAAGTGGCCCAGAGGTGAGTTGCGGGGCAGGCTGCATGGGCCCAGCCATCACTCGGGAAAAGCTTTGAAGAGGTTTAACCCATCTTCCAGGGTTGGTCTCCAGGTGCACCTTAGCCTCAAATCTACCCACCAGCCCAATGGTTCATCAGATAATCCCAACCACCACTACTACTACCTACCAAAGGGTTTTTCAAGGGATTTGGGAAGCTGATAGCTGAAGATACATTTTCCTAACTTAACATAAACTTCCTGATAGGGACACAAATCCCCTTGCAGCCAGTGCCAACAACAGCTTTAAGTCTCAGTGACTCTTTTGAAGCACCACTTCTGTTTTGATTAATAAACAGACCAGGAAGCAGCTATCATGTAGGCATGTTAGATGCTTGGAGGCAAGATAGAGCAGCTTAAAAGATCCCCTAAGAGGCTGGGTGTGGTGGCTCACGCCTGTAATCCCAGCACTTTGGGAGGCCGAGGATCACCTGAGGTTGGGGAGTTTGAGATCAGCCTGACCAACATGGAGAAACCTGGTCTCTACTAAAAATACAAAATTAGCCAGGCGTGGTGGTACATGCATGTACTCCCAGCTACTCGGGAGGCTAAGCCAGGGGAATCGCTTGAACTCGGGAGGCGGAGGTTGCAGTGAGC